AAATATGTAGCGGAAGCAGTTGCTTCCAATCTATTTTGACAGTTATAAGTTCATTTAAAAATTAAACAAACAAAAATTTCATATTAAGAAACTATTACATAAGAATGCAGACAAAAGAGAAGGGCCAGGAAGGCCAACATCATATCTAGCAACCAATAATTATGATCTAGAATATGCTTTAATAAGACATTCTTTTTGTTAGCGATTTGTTTTAGATCATTATAATAGCTTCAAAAATAGGACATTAGACTTGTTTTAAAAAAAAAGGCTGTTTAAATCACTATATAAGGTCTATTTCCTTTTGAAAACCTTTAGCGGCACTTTTAACTAAAATACATTTATTATGAAAACTTGTGTAAAAGTGAGCAATGTCGTCTGAAGAAAAAAAAAAATCTAAAAAAGACTTTCAAATATTTTCCACTTATTTGTTAAAATTAACAAATTCATCATTTATATAATACCATAATGACATTATTATATGGCATGCATTTGAGCTGGATGATTTGTATTGAAATTAAAAATGTTTGTGTGTAAATCACATTATATAAACTGCTTGATAAATGAATTGACAATTCACTTGGAAACTCAATATATACCCCCGCGACACTTACCAAGGAGGAAATCCTGAATAATCATAGGTCTGCTCTATGTTCCTTTGGAATTTCAACCAAAGATGGAGAACTGGATCTTCTCTCACTGTATTGGATACCTAAACTACATAAGTGTCCTTACAAACAACGTTATATTGCTGGTTCTTCTAAGTGCTCCACGAAACATCTTTCTGAATTATTAACATCAATTTTATCAGCAATCAAAACCGGGCTTCAAAATTACTGTGACACTACCTATTCTAGAATCAGATGTGGATACTTAAAAATTTCAAAGATCTTTTGGAGCACATATATCTAAGACTCTTTCATCTATCAATAGTATGTGACCTAACGAATAAGACTTATCACCAGGTTTGTTCTTACATGTACATGAGCAACGCTACGCGTGCCTAAGGTAGTAATATACAGTTGGGGAAAAAAAATCACCCTAATAAATTTTACCATCCACTTTTCCTTGCTTTCTTACAAATTAAACTTACTGTTTGTGTCATATATGTGCATATGTATGTTATCAGTATCTTCTATAGATTTGATATCAAGTAGTTGAAATGGTAAAAAAAAATTTCTTTTTGGTGTATCCATGGCAACAACCTGCATGTATTTTGCTATAAAACATTGCAAAAAGGGGGTACAGATGTCACATATTTCCCAAAATTTGACAAAAGGTAGAATTTCGGTCCCTTGGAGTGATATCTTTTCTGAAATTGTTTACATATATCCATCAAGAGATCAAATAAAAATCATATGTCTTTCGTTTCATTTTTTTGTAAAATTGCGTCAAAAAGTTCGAGTGAAAAAAAGTGTTTGTAAACATTACAAAAACGTCTGGACCTGTGGCCGGTCTGGCTATGAAAATACGGACAGTCAAACATAAAATAGCACACAAAACATGTAAAAAATAATCTTGATGTCCTTATAAACCCACTTTGAAGGCTAAATTAGTCATCAGCTGTCTAAACTGAAAATTATGGCGCAATAACTTTCATATCTGAAAAATCCATCGGGGCCAAAATGTGAAATTGCACTCCTAACTGTGTATTGCTACCTAATGTGGAGCAGGATCTGCTAACCTTTCCGGAGCAACTGAGATCACCCCAAGTTTTTGTATGGGTTCGTGTTGGTCAGTCTTTAATTTTCTATGTTGTGTTTTGTGTTCTGTTGTGTGTCTGTTAAAGTCTTTTTTTTCTTTTTTAGCCATGGCGTTTTCAGTTTATTTTCGACTTATGAGTTTGAATGTCCCTTTGGTATCTTTCGCCTTTCTTGTACATATTTTTCATCCAATGTTTATAAAAAGTACTAAACGTCGTGAACATATTCAACGTGTGCAATCAGGCAATACTTGCAAAACAAATAGTAGATTGCACGAACTATATTTATACATTTCCTGTTAAAAAACCATGAGAAAAAATCCGACGATATCATAATTTCCAAAATTATGGATAAAATCGTTAACGTCGGGCATCCAAAAGTGAAGACAAGGGCCTAAAAGAGAAACAAACAGATGCAATGATCGAAGTAACACATTTTAAAATATAAACAGTAAAAGAGAGGCAAAAGATACCTGAGGGACATTTAAACTCATAAGTAAAATATTGATGATGACTAAAATTGACGATTTCGATTGAAATCTTAAAAATGTGCCTTTGAGCTTGATGATGTCCATTGTTGTCAAAATACAAAAATATCTTGCAATAAGATAGTTGAAAATTTGAAGGGTTATGAAAGACAAGAAGTGGTTTTTGGTTGATGTTGTTAAATTCAGAATTTCATCATCTATTATGACATTATTACTTATGTTTGAGCTTATTCACTTTTTATTTGTCATGTTTTACATATTTGTCAAATGTTAACAAAAAATACTGAACTGGAACATAAGTCTTATATTGACCCTTCGTGAACCTTCTCCACATGGACAAACATGCAATACCTGTACAACAAAGGGTAAATTTTGCGAACTAAATCATTACATTTATCGAAAATAATCGTTATTCTAAGTTATGTAAAAAATCTTTAATGTCAGGCAACCAAAAGTGTAGAAAAAGGGACGAAGAGAGAAAATAAAAATGTGCAATATCAAAATTAACACCTCTCAAAACATACATGCATTACCCTTTTAAGGTATTTGAATTTCATTGAAATGATCCAAACAGATATCTAATTGAAATTTTTTTTTTTAGTAACACTATTTTAGCCGATTTTGTAATTTTTCCTGAAAAATCCTATGTTCGGAGAGATACGAATATATCACCAATGTCTGCCTAACTGAAATACAAGTCGAATACTAGTAATTGAATAACAAAATCAATGTAAATTTGATCCAGTAAAATACATTTACATTCAGACAGGTCAAGAAAGTTTAACAATAATGTTTGCCATGTTTAAATCCAAATTAACTCGGTAGTTCAAGTTAGAGAAAAAAACTGTGAAACTGGTGTTCCGAACGGAGAATAGACAAATGGACATCCGAGTAGACCATATGATTCTTCCGTCAATGTCAAATGAATGCGTTAGCATGAATTTAATTTACAGCTAAAATAAAAAAAGGTCGAATGTTCTTAATTGTAATTTGTACATCAGAAAATTAAAACAGATCACGTGCATCCTTGTTAAACAATAACTGCTGTCATCAAGATTTACATCTACGGATGCATCTGTTGATGGGTTGAGGGTTTCCGTCCTTAAAGGTCAACGAAAACAACGAGTTTCTATTATAGATATTTTTATTTTTATTATTTTTAGTATTGCGTATCATGTTCAGCATCCTCCGGTAAACGTGACTATATCTTTCGGATGTAATACAAACCTAGTTTCCAGACACCCTCCGCAAAATTGATCAATAATCACCTTGTTTATGGTTATCTAACAAGTCGTCAATCGTTACTACTCGGCCATTCTCGCTACGCCAGGCTACAATAACGGAAAGTTTGCATGGGGTTTACATAATAGAGAATAATGGTCCAAAAGCAAATTAAGAAAAGAGAAAAATAGACCAAACAAAATAAAAAATAGAGAGTAAAGGAGTGTTCAAATATAAAGCATAGAGAATAATGGGCAACAAATATAAAAAATAGAGAAAAAAGGTGTAAAAAATAAGGAATACAGAATTGAGTGATCCACATCCAGACCCTTATAACGTATCCATTGCTGCAGACTGTGACGAAATATATTTTCTATAATTTTGTAATTTTCCTTGTTTTGTATCAACTTTTGAGTATACTTTGGATTGGAAAAGTATGGGCATACCAATAATAAGAACTTTATATTTGGAGGGTTAATGTAAATAGCTTGAAGATAGCTTCTATGAAATTATTTTGTTATTATTTAGCTGTGGGCGATGTTTTCGAACAGACATGGATGAAAACCTGCCTAAAATCAACATTTTCCTTTATTTTTGTGAAAAATACACACATTTTGATGTCATACATTGTAAATCTTGTCTAATTCATTTATATTCCTTGATGATATGCATTTTCCTATGTTTTGAGTAAATTTGAAATAATGCTAAACAAACTTCATTTTCCCGGCCAAAAACAGGCCTTATAAATTCCACTTCCCCTTTGATTGATATTCTAGCTTACAATTACTGGTCTGCATGTTTTATATATATACATGAAATTATTAAACGTGTTGTTTTCGATTTTGTATAATGAGGTCAATGCCCTGGATACTCGGGAAAAATAAATTTTCCTACAGCCAAGATGTAAGACAAAATTCAAGATGTCACTGCTATCTGACAGACGGGTATCTTTCGAACATCTGAAGAATGTTATTTGTAGATTTATAATACATGTATCTTGTTATTCAAGGGACCAAAACGTGGCCTTTAGCTTCAGAACCATATCTACATTTGATAACATACTTGCTAACATATTTTGAGGATAATTCCTTTAAAAAAATCAGCAAGGAGTCTGTTGATCCCACGAGATCCCCGTAATGAGCGGAGGACCAGGAGGCGAAGCCCCGCCTGAACATGAATTTATCCTATTTGAAGGGCCATTTGATAGTGTTTTCAGATTTTCGATTCCGGGTCATTGCTTTACGGAACACGTCAAATAAAGACGATGCTTAACACTTTTCTATCCTTAGCTATCAATTTTTTGAGAGAAAATAAGCAGACCTTCCCTAGAAGTTCGGCGATTCCAGAGAATTAGAAAACAAATACGGCATTAAACCCAGTAGAGAGGTAAATATCAGGAGGCATTTATGGCTAATGCGATATCAAGTTTTTTTTATCAGCAGTCGAATTTTAATTTCTGTTAACAAACACAACAAAATATGACAAATTATCGTATAAAAAATTTGCTACCTATAACCAATCAAATATTATCTGGTTTTTAATTTTAACTATAAATTACAAGTAGATATAAATTATTTGCATGTACATGTATATTGGTTAATATGCATGTAAAGGACACCAAAAGGAAATAGCAGTAGCCTTATATAAACTTAAGGCCCGATAACAAGCCACTAAAAAGTGTGCATCTGTTAAATTGTACAAAAAAGAATGAAGGTTCAATTTTTAATAGTATTTTTTCTTACAGCTGTTCGATGCCAGGCGACAGAATCTGTTCTCGATTTGTTTCCAGAATTCAAACGAGAAATTGGGAGAATTGATGGCCTGGAAAGAGAAAACAAAGCATTGAAAGCAGAGATTGAAGCAAGAGGTAAGACTGTATTGCCCTTAAAGTAAGACATTTAATGCATTTAAGATAAGAACATACAATAAAACGATTATAACGCATACAAATATTAGTTGAACATTTTGTTTTCCTCCAATTCCTTATTCGTTTAAAAAACAAGTTTCCAGTGTTTTTTTTTTTTTTTAATTAATGGACTTTAACATTGCTTTTCCGTTAATTTCAATAGACCAGTAAATGTGTAAATCATATCTTCAACAAGATTTTACATGCCAATTAGGCATGCTGAAAAAAAATGCATTGATGACGTACATTTGCATCAAAGTTATGCTTCTTGAATAAAAATTAGAATGTTGTGCGACCCGTATAAAGGGCGAGAAATTTTGAACTGTGTCTGGGAAAAGAAAATATGCTAAAAATGGGCAGAATTTGAGCATTGCAAGAAGCCGCTCCATGTACATGTAAACGGCCTTCAATTGGGCAAAATGTGTGCTTAATAGATTTGATATTTATTTATTAAAATAGTTATCGCTTATCGCACATCATCCGTTATCCAGACGCACGAAAAAAAAAAACCCAAAAAACTCTGCCGAAAATAGTGACGTAATTTTTTCATCTTTTTTTTTAAAAATCTTTAATATATATATATTTATATATCATACATGTATTTGTGGAAGTTATTCACAGCTTGTCTTAATAGGGGTTCATGAACTCGTTTTCAAGTTAAATCAGTCTAAACGATAAAAATCAGTCGAAATATGCATCTTTTCCCGATATGTCACAGTTTGACGTCGCTAAAAATAACATTTTACGTTAGCAACGTCATTACCTCCCCTGTAACTGTATCGTATGCCCTTAAGGGTGACGTTGCTAACGTAAAATGTTATTTTTCGCGGCGTCAAACTGCGACATATCGAGAAAAGATGCATTTTTCGACTGATTTTAATCATTAGCTTGAAAGCGAGTACATGGACCCCTCTTTTTAAAAATGAAATTTGACTTGATACTGTATAGAGATTATTTATAGATTAAATGGTTAAATAAACTAAGAGGATACTTTTGTAAAGAAGATATTCCAAATCGTTTTACAAAAATCCGCATGTGTTTTATCTTTTGAAACAAAAAAGTTTAATATCTCTATCCAAAGGATAGAAATGTTCAAGAAACCGAAATCTATGGTAAATGTCTAAAATTTCGACCCATTTATCTCTAATTTAGCACATGCACATGAAGGTATATTTTATATTACATATTTGAATTGACCAGGCGAACAATAGCTTGTATGCAAATTTTTGTAAAAAAAATCACCGTGGCAGGATCGAAACTGTATCGTATGCCCTTAACCTGAATAATGCAGTCATTATATTCCGCTTACTATCGATCGCTTCATTAAAAGCCGCTACATAATCATTTAATGCTGAGTTCACACGTAATTCGAATTCGATTCGCATTAACTAATTCGAATTAGTTTAATTTGCATTCGAATCGTTTTACGTCCAAACATTAACTCTAATTCGAATTGCAACACGCGTCAAATTTGCTTTACTGTCCGAAAGACGTTAACTTTTGATTCGTATCAACAAAAATGGATTTCTAATGCGAATTGGTTAATGCGAATTAGCCAATTCGAATCAATTCGAATTAAAAAGGAAGAGTGTGTGAACGCGATTAGCGAATTCGATTCGCATTCGATTCGAATTCAATTCGAATTAAATGTACGTGTGAACTAGGCATTAGTTAGTATTTTGAACTTGACTTATTGCTAAGAGATTTTTTTATTGTCGGAAACCGTATGTTTTTTTATTTCCTTTTTCTGGGGGGGCGGGGCGTTTTCGTTAGTTTTTCATATGAAAGAGTTTCCAATATCTCTTAATATAAACACCTAATATGAAAGCTCTTTTGAGCTGTAATTATTGATACAAATGCTATTTTCAAAGATTTTTGAAAGATAAACATTGAAACTTTTTTGCGATTTTCAATCACGAGAAAGGGCCCAAAATAAAAGTGAGCTCATCTTTTTCACGATTATTTAACATAAGTATATATGATTGATTGATTGTAGCATCCTTAACGTCCAGCGGCAAATAGTTCATATATATTCAGGACGATACGTATTTATGTGTAGCTATACTACTTGCAATCAAATATATATAAACAGATGATTCCATGTTTTACAATATTCAGGAGTTGCTTTTAATTCTTATTTTTCAGCTTATAAAAAAGTATCATAGAACTTTCAATTTCTTTCAGGACCAGATAAAGTTGCGTTTATGGCTAAGAATGCACCTCATTTAAAGAACATCCCTGGAAATCATATTATAGTATACGACACAGCTATAACAAATGTAGGCAACGGATACGATACGTCCACTGGGATTTTTACCGCTCCTTCAAATGGCATCTACATTTTTTCCTGGACAGTTCTAACTCAACAAGGCTTTAACTTTCTCACTTATCTCGCTGTAAACGGAAACGTGATAGCCAGAAATTACGTAGATGCGTACCAAATACGAAACAACATCTCAGGAAGTCAGAATGCTGTAATTAACCTTAAAAAGTACGATAAAGTATCCGTCAGAATGCGAAATGGATTATGGGGAAATGACATGCATGGTGATGGTTGGTCAACTTTCAACGGTTATAAACTATATAACATGTAAAATTATAGTATTAATATTAATAAAAATCTTGCAGATTTTTTGTCTTTTTTATGGTAATTCACAATGCAGAGGATGTTTTGGTTGTCAAAACATGGAAACCTTTAACTACGTACTTCCACAGAGTAAATGGAAATAACACTTTATAAGTCTCGTACTTTTCTAGATTTACCTTCAGCAGGAACGCTCAAACCTAAACATTTGAAAGCCAAGGGTATATAAATACGTAGAAACACGAGGAGCTATATTTAAGAATTGAATGCTTCTTTTTGTACATTTATAGGGCTGTAAAAGCGTTCACAGAAGTGCATTTTGTATGAAGCGCGGAAGCGCTTCCTTCTAACAATGTGCGCATGGTCAACGCTTTTACAACCCTATAGAATTACTAAATCAGCATTCAATACTTATAATTACATTTTTTGCTAGGATCATGAAAACACGATTTCTATCAAGTTTTTCTTTTATTTACCTCTGCACTTTATTGTGGAAGCTCGTGTCATCATGAATGTTACATTTCATTTTGGAATGAAGGTTAATTTCAGAATGACGCGAGATTGCTGTTGGCCAATCAAAAGAACGTATTATAAAGAAACATACATGTAATGTAATTATAGTAAATGTAACATTTTTACAAACGTATTTCTATTCAAATTTTTACGGTAAAATACATTTTTTTTTCAAATTGTAAAAGTACATATTGATCATTTGAAATATTTCAAATATTTCAAAAAATTTCAATAAGAATTGATGTTTCCAATATATACACGATATGATTGGTATCATGGACCTTGCTCTTTATACACATGTAATTTTTATTTACTTTAAAGGTATGTTGGTTAATGAAGTATAAGGGATGGGTGAACTTTTGACAAAGTCTCCTGAAATAATATAAGATAGCAAAAGTATGAGAGGAACAGCGAATTAATGTTGTTTCTTTATATTGAAAATGTCTTTTACGATTGGCTAAACAGTTACGTTCAAGATAGCCCCTAGCGTCGTTTAATGCTGATAATTTCTTATATTGATAACCGATATATATTTTGGGATTTTTTTTTCTTTTGTTGTTGTTGGTAATGTTTTAAGAACAGGTGCGGCAGTACTAAATACATTGCATACTAGTATTATTAAACTGGTACAGCTTTACTATAAATTGTCCTCTCTTCTTTTAAAAAATCCTAAAGATTTTTGTAATAATTCTTATTTACCACCATTCAAATATTCAGACTTTTGTTCACGGCATTCTCCAATTGTATTGATGAACAGCCAAGATTAACCTCTTGCAGTTAAACTTAAGGATTTTTTTCTTTTTTTTTGTTAATTGATAAAGAAGTTCGTTTAGAAGGGGGGGGGGGGGGGGTGGGTATTAGCACAGATGAACAGGAAATAAAATAACCATTTTACGACGAACGAAAATTAAATAAAAATAGCTTACACTTTGATTTTTTACTTATAATTAGCACAGAATACGAATAACAATAGACCAATTTTGAGTTTTTTTTTTATAAATGTGGTCAATACTCATAAATGGCGTCATTTGACAATCGAAATTACATAAGCATTGTGACATTGGAAATGTACACGAAAATGCACGAATGTGAAAGTCGTCTTCGGGTTCAAGCTTGAAAACATGTGAAATAAAATTTGCAAACACGTTTTTACGAAAACAACCCTTTACAAACTGCTATAAATAATTATCATACAAAACTTTTAAAAACTGTTCACTACTGGAAGGTGATCTACTCCCTCTTTTTAAATACTAGATAATAAGTTAATTTGAAGCTCCCGCTTGATTTATCAATATTCTTAGTTAAACAATATGTCACTTGTAGTAAATGTTAATGGTAGAATATTGCCACCTTAACCAACAAGAGTGCACACGCTGAAATGTCTCGCCTGATATACTTATCATGATAAAATTTATGTTGAAAGTCTGTAATATGAAGGTTTTCCGACAAATATCACAGACACCTAATATTATCAGTGATCCATGTGAATGAGGTCAAGGTCAGATGAACCCTGTCAGACAGACATGTACATTTTAAAATCATACAATGCACCAAATATAATTAGCATATTGCTTATAATATCTGAGAAACAGACCTAATTAGGAAAATTGAACATTGACCAATTAACTATAAAAATAAGTTCAAGGTCAGATTAACCCTGCCAGACAACATGTACACCATGCGATCATTCACTACACCAAATATAGTTGACCTATTGCTTATAGTATCTGATAAAAGGACAAGATATAAAATACGATGGCCCTATTGCTTAGAGGATCTGAAAAATAGACCAAACCGGAAAATCTTAACATTGTCCAATGAACCATGAAAAAAGGTCAAGGTCAGATGAAACCTGCCAGTCGGACATGTACACCTTACAATCTTTTTTTTACACTAAATATAGTTGACATATTGCTTATAGTATCTGAGATATGGACTTGACCATGTAAACGTAACCTTGATCACTGATCCATGAAATGAGGTCGAGGTCAGGTGAACCCTATCTGATGGACATGCAGACCTTGCAAGGATCCAATATATGAAATATATTGTAGTACCTCGGGGTAGGGTCGATGGTGCTCCACTGGCGGAGTAGACAGATCCGGAAGACAGAGAGCCTCGTTCCGGATCTGTCAATCGAAAACTGGAACACCAAGCTGACAGCAAGCATATTAAGTCCAGCCGATTCGATCTGTGAGATATTACTTACAGAAGTACAGGTTATCGTCACGGTAAGTTGTTAAAAAGCTTACATTGGCGCTGCGAGCATTTTTCGTACTAATTCACTCGGGGAGTTGAATTCTTAAGCGGAGAATGCTTCCAAAAAGGGCCCAAACAGCACCTCCATTTTGTTTTTAGGGGATCCCTGACAGGTCACCTATTTCTAGTTTTTGGCTACCCACGGTTTCGCTGGTGTAGTCAATTCGGGAGGGAAAGTCAAAGCACAGGGAAGGGAAAACTTTTGTGACTAAGTTTCAGTCACGGATTTGTAATTTTAGGGATTTTTCACACTTGACCGTCTGCGGAGCCCTTGTAGGGAATTGTGTGAACCCCATTTGTTCTGAAAAACCCTTGTAGGGAATTGTGTAACCCCTGAATCCAATTCAGCCGCGCATTGCACTACGTGTTTTTCAACAGTGCAGCAGCAGTTAAAATAAAAAAAAAAAAACAAAAAGGAGAAAAATTGTGTCTAACTTTCAAACATTACACACATACACTTAATTCCCATTCGCATAAAAATACCTCTGGGGTCAACTTATAAGCTTGATCCCCAGTTATAAAACTTGTTGTTTTAAACAATACCAAATAAAAAGGCCCTTCAGTAGAGACACCGGTACAAGCCCAATTTTAAATAGTTCATTCCATAGTTGTATTACGTGTGACCATGGCTATAGTGCATGTAAACTCAGCTACTTTTGAGGATTTGTTATCAATTCCAGGGGTTGGGGCAAAAATAGCAGCAAAGATTTGGGAATTTAGGGAGGATAAGGGTATCCTAGAGTTGGAGGATCTCCGGTATGTCCCATATATGAGAATTACGGAAGCAGCCATGGATGCCATGGATTTTAGTACCTCCTTGCCATCCAACAGGGGGGTTGACAAATTTTGCAAGGAGGAGATAGGGCACCAAGAAAAAGTGCAACGTATTGATAATCTAATACAGGCATGCGGCAGTGGTCACACCACCCATGACTACCCCACCCCAGCAGGAGAAACGCCAAGGGCAAGGGCGGCTAGGTCACCTTCCCCCTCCCAGCACCTAAACTGGCAAGATGGTGGGGAACTTAACCGGGGGTTCAGGGAAGCGGGGTCTACCAGGACATAGGGGTTAAGCCCATGCCTCAGTATGGGAATACCAGAGACTACAGGTATGAGGAAACACCTCGATCCCGGTATAGCAATGCAGGGAGCACAGACAGGGAAAGGGGGGGGGGGGGCTTAGCTAACCGGTATACCGATAGTGAGGGCCCAAGGTTTAGAGACGCCCATATCGAAAATGAGGCCCCAGTGACGAGACAGGCCAGTAGTATGGGGTACCCAGGGGCAGCAAGACGGGAAACTGGGGAACAAAGGAGTTCTCGTAGGGATGCATATGACCACCAGGAGGCTATGGCGGGGTCGGATACCCAGAGATTTCAAGACAGGCCAACGGGGCCAACTGGGGGCAAACCACAAATCCTACAAAAGAGTCTCAAGTACGATGGGAAGACTAATTGGCAGGCTTTTTACGCCAAGTTCTCGCGATTGTGCCAGGTCAGTGGATGGTCTCAAGGGTAGTGCAAGGACCAATTGTGCTGGTCCTTAGATGAAAAGCCCAGTGAGTTTTATGCCTTGCTGGTGGAAAGAATGCATGATTTGTCCTACGAGGATTTAGTGAGTAAGTTGGCCAAACGGTTTGGGTTTCAATGAGTTGCCAGAAACCGCTCAGGTTCAATTTAACATTGCCAGGCAAGGGGGGGACGAAACCCTAGAGGACTGGGCCGACAGAGTCCTATCCCTCGCCACAAAAGCCTTTCGCCACCTGCCCGAGGATCACATGTACCAACAGGCGGTCATGAGATTGTGCCAGGGGGCCTCGGACAAGGAGGGGGTAATGTTGGCCTCCAATGCTAAACCAAAGAGTATTGAAGAGGCGGTGGACAAAATCAGGTGGCATCAACATAACCACCAAGCCCCCCCCCCCCCCCCCCCCCGATCCTTAAAGAGGTGGTTATGAACACAGCAGGAAAAGGCATTCAATTGAACGGGTTTGTCGCTGGGCCTTTTCAGGTAGGGCTTGGAACACAGGAATACACCTGGGACATATATGTGGCCCCAATAAGGGATCAAATGCTATTGGGAATAGACTTCCTCCGGGAACAGGGCATATCACTTGACCTACGTAGGAATCAACTATCCATCCATGGAGAGGTCGTACAGATGTCATGGGGTCAGGCTAGGGTGCTGCTCCAAACCACGGGGGTGCGGGCGGGGAAGAATCACATGGTCCCAGCAAATTCGGTTCAAAGAGTGATGGGGCGTTGGCCGCACCCA